CTGACAGTCACTGAAAGAGGTACAAGACAACATGATTACGTTATAAACATACAGTCCTGGATGGAAATGTTTTTTGTTTTTAAAGAGATGTGGGGGCACCTGGGTGGCTCAGCTGGCTGAGCATCTGACTCTCCATTTCAGCTCAGGTTGTGATCTCAGGGTTGTGAGATTGAGCCCTGTGTCAAGCTCCGTGCTAAGCAGGGAGTCTGCTTAGGATTCTCTCCCTCTGGCCCTCGCCCACTCGCACTCGCTCACTCTCTAAAATAAATAATCTTAAAAAAAAAGAAATGCAATCTATTATAAAATTCCTATAGGGGGCACCTGGGTGGCTCAGTCGGTTAAGCGTTTGCCTTCAGCTCAGGTCATGATCCCGGGGTCCTGGGATGGAGCCCCGCATTGGGCTCCCTGCTCAACGGGGAGCCTGCTTCTCCCTCTCCCTCTGCCTGCCACTCCCCCTATTTGTGCACTCTCTCTGTCAAATAAATAAATAAAATCTTAAAAAAATAAAAAATAAAATTCCTATTGGGAATTAGGGATTCATTCAATCATCTGATGTTCATTATGTACCTATTGTAAGGTAGGCACTGTGCTCAGCAGAGGCAGATGTTAATTAAAGAATCTCACAAATGAAAGGGGGAAGGGAGGAGATATTTTGGAGACTGGTAGGATCCAGAGTTCCTCAGTTCCGCACTTACACAAGCCACAAAGCCCCTCAACTTACGTGCTTGCTTACATGACGCTAGAGAACAGTCCTGCTCAGCAGAGCTGCAAGCCAGCTGGAGACCCTGCTGTGCACACAGTGAGCACTCAGTGGATGTTTGTCGAATAAACAGATGAAGGCTGTACAGTTCAACACCACTAAACGACTCCTTCAAAAAGGTCTGGGCCTTAACCTTTGAAAGGAGGAAACTGAACAGAAAGGAGGAGCCCAAGGGCCAGGCCCTTTGCCAGACAATCACAGGTGTGCACCTGTCCACTGACCGACTACTAGTGTTCTTTCCTCCTCAAGCCCATGCCCACCTCACACCAAGCTACTTGCAGTTCCTTAAGCAAAACATCCTTCCTCTCCTAGTTCACCTGGAAAACTCCTATTCAGGCTTCCAATTCCTGATCACCTTGTCTGCCTTGCTTCCCAACCCTACCTCACCTGGTGACCTTGATTTCTGCCTTCCTTCGTGCCGTCTGTACTTTGTGCTCACCTCTACCACACCAGTCATAACTTCTTACCATAACGTGATCGTGAACTCTCTCAAACTAAATCCTGTTCATCTCTGTAGGCAGTGGTCTAGAACCTAGAACACCACAGATGTTCAAGGTGTGGCAAATGAAAGAATGAATGAATCCATGTCCTGCACCGTGCTACAAAAGGGGTGGGATAAAGTCTGTGCCCTTGAAAAGCTTACAATCTTAGATAATAAATAAAAGATGTAGAAAAACTAGTAAGAATTAAAATATTAGAATTCTAGGGGTGCCTGGGTGGCTCTTGATTTCGGCTCAGGTCATGATCTCAGCTTTGTAAAATCAAGCCCTTCTTAGTGGGGAGCCTGCTTGAGAGTCTCTCCCTCTGCCTGTCCCCCTTACCCCTTGCTCCCACACATGCTCTCTCTCTCTAAATAAATCCTGGGGCACCTGGGTGGCTCAGGTCATGATCTCAGAGTCCTGGAATCAAGCCCTGCATCAGGCTCCCTGCTCGGTGGGGAGTCTGCTTCTCCGTCTGCCCCTCCCCCCTACTCATGCACGCACTCTCTCAAATAAATAACATCTTTAAAAAAATCTTAAAAAAATAAAATATTTAGAATTCTAAGTCAACATTACACTTAAAGAAAATAAATTACTGTACCCTTTGTAGATACCATCACACATCCTCGCAAAATTCAGAAATAAAAGACTAGAAATAAACACACAAAATATAAAGGTAAATACAGTTAGTGGCATGTAAATGATTCTGATCTTTTTATATGTGTCTGCATATTTAAAATGAATGTGAACTCATTTTTCATCAGAATAAAGTATTGAAAATAAATATAACCAAAAAAAGCTTACCATCTCTTCACTGGGAAAAGGATAAATATGTGAAATAATAATTGAAGATTTTTGCTAGAGATGCAAACTTGATAGTCGTTATAAGAAATATGCATTTTTCATATACAAATTATGTACAGGTGTTAGGATGTAAACTGCTAAATGGTATCCAATTAAATAAATCTCCTCAGGTACTCTAGGAAACCCATAGCCTCCTATCACAGCTGTTGTCATTTGCGCTGATAGCAACAAATGGACGAAACCGAAGTTACAAGCAGAGTCGGCTTGAAAACACACAGTGCTTCTTACCATGAATGCCTGGCACATAATAAGTCCTCGATAAACTTTTATTGAATGAGTGATCTGATATTCTTAACCAAAGGGAAAAATTATCTACTAATGAGGCAAGTATATCAGGAGCTGCGGTTACCTAGAACACATCCTTCTCATAATGAAAACAGGCCCCAAATGTTTCCCCTGTACTTAGCACCCAGTTGCCAAAAGGGCTATTCTTCCCCCTTTTTGGTAAAAGTAGAAAAGAATTGTGTCTGACGCTCTATATACAAACTATCCTTCCATGTACTATCCATATGGTAATAACACATCCACTCACCAACCTCCCCCATGGCTCCCTGGCTATAGCTGGGGATTCAAACTTAAATCTGGGAGGTAAGTTTTAATACTGAGAGTTTAAAATCTTGAGTATAAAGAATACTGGATATCTGGTAAACTGCATTTTTCTGATTGCTGGGTCAGAGAAGGAAAAACTGCAAACCAGAATCTGAGTGTCTAGACGGGCTGCCAGAGGTAGGAATGAAAACCTTAAGGAACAAGAGTTCTGCCAACCGGGGAACCTGGGTGGCTCAGTCGGTGAATTGGCCAACTCTTATTTCGGCTCAGGTCCTGATCTCATGGGTCATGAGATCGAGCCCGGCATCGGGCTCCGTGCTCAGAGGGAGTCTGCTTGGATATTCTCTCCCTCTGCCGCCTCCCCTGCTCACGTGTCCTCTCTCTCCAATTAAAAAAAAAAAAAAAAAGTTCTCAAAAAAAAAAAAAAACCTCCAGCCCAAGATCCTTAGAATAAAGATCAAAGAAAGGAAGCATGCAGGGAGTGTGGCAGAAGGTAAAGGAAGCCTCAAAAACCCTTGTAATCCCTCATTCATTCATGCATTTACGTGCTAAGGGTTGTGGGAGACAGAAAAAGGAAAAAGTCTTCATTCCTGCTGTGAAGGACTCCATCCATCAGGAACATGACATGGCCACAAACAGCTATCACACTGGGAAGAAAGTAACAACCCAAAACGAGGTACAAGTGTGTTCAGAGACAGAAGAAATCTCATATTTAGGAAGCTATTAGATACACCTGACTGTACAATACACTGGGATTTTGAAAATATTAGAACATTAGGAGAAAAAAGAAAGCACTACTAATCCTTGTTCTTACATCTTGCTACACCGCTGTCTGCCCGTCCTCAGGGCATCTGGCTCTCCTGGAGCAACACCACATTCCCCAACACCCAGGAATGGAGGGCTGATGGCAGGTGACAACAAACTTTAACAAAGCAGTACCATGAGCCAGGCTGTGCAGTCAGCCCCGTAAGCCTCACAATTTCCCCTACAAAGTACAAACTGTTACTATATCCAGTTTACAAGCTGTTACTATATCCAGTTTACAAGTAAGAAAATGGGGCACAGAGAAGTTAAGTGACTTGCCCAAGGTCACCCAGCTCATAAGTGGCACAAACAGGAGTTGAGTCCAGAATCTGGGCCCTTAGCCATGACCCTATGCTGCCTCCATGCTGAGAACCTGTGGACATTTATCAGGACATATACAGCTGGAGCATGCAAGGTGATTTTTGGCCAAGTTGGCCCTTTAAGCACACACATGTACTTCAAACTATTCTTATTTACACAACAAAAATGCACACACCATTCCTGACCTGGCTTTGAAAATGAGTTTTCACAATCTTTAATGGGATATTTGCTTTGTTAATCTGGGGGGGGGGAAAAAAAGCCTGTTTCCTCAGGGGCCAGAGTAGTTAAATCACAGTTTTGACTGGCGCTTGCAGGCACCACCCCTTACAGGTCATCTCATGGCCTTGGGCAAAATGCTCAGCCTTTTTTGTTTCTTCGCCAGCAAAGTGGCTATAACAACAGTACCATCTCATAAAGTGGTAAAAACTACATGATAGTGTGCACATAAAGGGCTAAGCACAGTAGGCCAAGCACTGAAAGCTCAATAAACGTGGCTTTCGTTTTTGAGGTCCTAAGTCCTCTGCGTTTGCAGAAGGCAAGTCCCGCAGGGACCACAGAAAGGCTTTCTCCATCCCAGAGTCGCTGCCCATCCCTGAAGCATTCTGCTGTGTCCTCCAGAGCCCAGAGACGCCAGAAGCGGGTTTCCCTGCACCCCGAGCCGGGAGGTGGCTGTGTCACCTCGCCCACGGCCAGGAACGAGGCAGGCTCCGGACGACCTCAGGGCGGGACCACAAAACTTAACCCAGATTTCTCACTCGGGTGAACTCATCGCTTAGTGGAGGATCAGGGCCCTGTCTGACGGGCTTGGCAGCGGCAGGAATGCGGGCGCGGGCTCACCCACCTGCCGAGCCCTGCTTCACAGCATCCCTGGGGAGCCCGTCCCCTCCCCGTCGCCGGGGGAAGGGGGGGTGCCACCGGGGACCGTCCTAACCGCGCCGACACGGTCGATGTCCCCCAAATCGTCTGAAACACATTCCCACGATTTCCAAGAGGGCGCCGGCGGAGGAGCGCGCGGCGCTTCACAAAGCCAGGTGAGCAGCCACGTCGCCGCCGCACGTGTGGAGCCGCGGGAACCGGCCCCGGGGTCCGCGAGGCCGCGACCTCCGCGCCGCCCCCCAGCCGGGCCGCGTGCGCCCCGCAGCCGCGTGCGCCCGGAGGCCACGTGCGCGCAGGGCCCCAGCCGCCGCCCCGGCCGCCCCCCCCCCCGCCACCCCTGCACTCACCAGGTGAAGAGCTGGCCTCTGAGCCCGCGCAGCAGGCTCCCCAGCGCGCCCGCCCCTCCTGGCGCGTACCGTTGCGGGGCGCGGGGTCCAGCCGGCGAGGCCGCCTCCATGGGGGCCCCTGCAGTCTCGGCGCCCGGAACCCCCCGACGTGCCGGGGGCGGGGAAGACAGGGGGCGGCGCCTGGGCGGCCGGCGGGACCCGGCCCCGTGCCCGCGCGCCCGCGCTCGCTCACTCGCTCGCTCGCGTGCCTCCCTCCTCGGCCCTCGGCCGCCGCCAGCCCTTCACCGTCAGGCCTCCGGGGCCGGACCAGACATTTGCAGACTACCACCTGGCTCCTCCCGGGGGGCTGGAGGACAAGGGGCGCTGTGTTCCCCCGCCCTGGCAGTGGAGGCTCGGGGATGGGTGACACCCCACATGCGTTTCAGGGTTTTATGGTTCCCTGTTTAGAACCAGCTCACGGGGTGAAACGAGGTTATGCCAGCGGGCCCTAACCTAAAGAGCCGTGACTTTGCCACCGCCTGAACTTTGCTAACTGGAAAGGGCCGGCCGACTCCTCCCCTGACTCCGGGCCGGCCTCCCTCCCTCTGACTAATTTACGAAAGACACTTCCCATTAAAAGAACTGAAGACGCTAAATTTAGTGCTGTTTCTTTTCAATGCAAAACCTGGGTAAAATCCCAGAGGGATTTTTGCAACACGTCTTTGTGAGGTGCCTCCTTCCTCACGGTGTGCGAGGCTTGCCCCTCGGTGTGCAAACTTGCCCGGCAGGTGCCCGCGCCACGCACGCCGCCACCCGCTGTCGCGCAGCCAGGGCGCCCTGCGCCTGGGCCACGCCTTGCGATGCCTCTGCGGACCGAGGGACGAGCACCTGCGGTGGAAAAGTTCCCGATCCTCGCCGACAGAAGGATCCAGAAGACAAGAGCGAAGGTGTGGGACCCTTTGTCTTCCTAACCACCTGCCTCCTTGGGCGGGGGGGGGGGGGGGGGGGGGGGGGGGGGGGGGGGGGGGGGGGGGGGGACGGGGGAGGGGTGTAAAGAAGGAGCAAAATAAAGGTAAATTCAAACGAGTTGGCAGTTCTGTGAGAAGGTTCTAAGAGAGAAAATAGATTGTGAGAAATGGGTTGCAGCTTTAGGAACTCCAAAGTTTAGCAGCTACAGGAACCCCACAGTTTAAATGAAATTATTATTTTTTAATTGTTGAAGAACATGGTCATCCAATAGAGGGACAACTGAGTATTATGGTACAACAGCATCCTATGGAAAAGAGCTATACCAAGACGGGAGGATTTTCTGTAGCTATTTTTGAGTGAAAAAAGTAAGATATAGAGAAGTGGGTCTAATGTAATCTCATTTTAATAACGCAAACAGCCCATTAAACCTTATATATATATTTTTCCTCAGGAAATAAACCTTATATATTGACAGTGTTAAATTTTACCTGAGCCCTGTGCACCTGGAAGATAGTAATGGTTAGGAACTGCCCCCATAGTGGGGCTCCTGGGTGGCTCAGTTGGTTAAGCATCCGACTCTTGATTTCCACTCAGGTCATGACCTCAGGGTCCTGAGATAGAGCCCCAGAAGGGGCTCCCCCGCGGGATTCCCCCACTGGGCTCCTGGAGTCTGCTTAAGATTCTCTCTCCCTCTCTCTTTGTCCCTTCCACTGCCCGCCCCGCCCTCCATGCTTTCTCTAAAAAAAAAAAAGAAAAGAAAGAAAGAAATGCCCCGATACTTTGGTATTCTTAGAAGTGGCATGCTGCAAAGAAACAGGTTTCCCATATAACTCAGATAAAGACCCAGAGTTGTTCTTTTTCACCTAGGACAAAGTCAGACACAGACCCTCCAAGTTCCATCCTCTGCCTCCTAAATGATGGCTAAACTGCTTTTCCCCACTGACCGTTCAGAACAAAATACTTGTTAAATCAACTGGCTAAATTCCTCTTCTTCCTCCAGGCCTGGGAACTTTCACCCACCTCAGCCTGAGCCAGCTTGTAACCACCCTTAATGGGTCCCTCTGGAGAATGTGGTCCCCTCAGGGTAAAACATTCTCTGATCTCCTATTCAATCAAGCTACCCTTTCATTTCACTTTTTCCTAGGCAGGAAAGAGTCCCCTTTCCCCTTTTGCAACAATCCCTCCCTTCCCCCTCCAATAATTCTTTCAAATAGTCTCTTCTTACCTAAATCAGATTTTTTTTAAAGATTTTATTTAAGTAATCGCCACACCCCACGTGGAGCTTGAACTCACAACTCCCAGATCAAGAGTCTCATGCTCCACCAACTGAGCCAGCCAGGCACCCCAGATTTGGTTTTTATTTGACAATATGGATATAGTTACGTGAGCATGGAGAAAAGTGTAAAACACATGTCAACACAAGTAACCTTAGAAAAGTTAAGGGATACAGAAAAGAAAAAAAAAAAAAACACACTTAAAAAAACACTCCAGCATGTATGATATAGTCCCTTTTATGTACCCCCTGTGTTTTGTCTAAATATGAGATTAAAAGGTAGATTTAGGTGTTGTGGCAGGCTGAATAATACCCCCCCCAAAAAAAAATCCAGTTCCTAATCCCTAGAATCTGAGAATATTCCTTTAAATATGTGGTGTCTCTCCTGATCGGATGGGGGCCCCAAATGTAGGGCGACCGGACCGGGTGGGGGCCAGTGGTACAGGCAGTGAAAAGATTCACCTGAGGCAGAACAAAGGAAGTAGAAGTTTACGGAATGCACAGCAAGGGAGCGGTGGGTAAGGGTGTGACAGATGGGACGATAAAGGAGACACTGTCTGCCAGGAGGCAGTGGGTGGGGGCTGTATTGAAAGGGGGAAGGTAGGGAGGTATGGGAATGGAACCTATGGAATTTTCCTTTTTGGTACCTGTGTCCAGGTGTCAGTAACCCATTGGTCAGTTAGGGCTTACGGATATTTTGAGATGGGCCTGTTTGTATTTAACCAGCTAAAGGCCCTTTCTACATTCCATTGTGCAAGCAAGCCTGTTGCCTAAAAGCGGCCTCTACAGGATAGCAAAAGAGATTTACAGATGTGATTAAATGATGTATCTTGAGATGAGGAAATCATCTGGTGGGATTTAATATAATCACAAGTGTCTTGACGAGAGAGAAGCTAATGGAGATTTACAGTGGAAGGAACGTGACACTGTGATGGAAGCAGAGATGGGGGGATGTACCTTGAAAATGCACCACATTTTCAAAGCCAAGGAGTCAACAGCCCCTAGAAGCTCAGAGCCTCAAGAAGGATGTAGTGCTCTGCCCACTTTGGCTTCAGCTGTAGCCCAATAAAACTGATTTCAAACTTCTGACCTCCAGAACTGTAAGAGAATAACTTTTGCTGTATTAAGCCACTACATTGGTGGCCATTTGCTACAGCAGAATAGGAAACAAATGCAGATTGTAGATACACTACCTTGCAGAGATCATGATATACTGTCTGGTGAAAAAAGCAAGTTACAGACTTGCAGAATAATTGTATAATATGATCCTGTTTTAGTAAATGCCACCAACTAAGTAACTAAATATCTTTATATATAAGGATACATCTATATGCATGTATTTATCCTCGCTTCTGTTTATAGGAAGATGACGAAGGTGTGGAAGAATATATACCAGGCTACTGATACTGTTTAAGTCATGAGACTGATGTGGGGGGAGAGGTGGAGGAGAGGGATAAGGAAGAGAAACATCCTTATATTATACATCTTCATTTTGTGTGCTTATTGTGGGCATATGCTACTTCTGCAACTTGAAAAATAGTCAATGAAGACATTTTTTTCCACAGGTCGTGTTAATCCTAATTAAAAACGTATTAGGCTCGGGGCACCTGGGTGGCTCAGTTGCTAGGCATCTGCCTTCGGCTGGGGTCCTGTTCCTGGGGTCCTGGGATCAAGCCCCGCATGGGACTCCCTGCTCGGCGGGAAGCCTGCTTCTCCCTCTCCCACTCCCCCTGCTTGTGTTCCCTCTCTCGCTGTGTCTCTCTCTGTCAAATAAAGAAAATCTTAAAAAACAAAACAACAAGTATTAGGCTCAACATCTCACCCCCACAGAAAAATGAGGTCACCACTGATGTGGATTCTGAAGTTACAGACAAAGTTAAATGTATTTTCTAAATAGAATGTCCTCCTCAAAAAGTAGCAATAGCAGTATTGTTCTAGCATTACTCCAAAATGAGCTCATCCCAATTACTGAAGATTATTGATCAGTCTATATTATTTTGGTATCAGGATTAACATATATTGAGTGGCTCCGTGGGCATCAATCCACAAGGTTTTGTCAAAGGAAATTTACTGAAAAAATTATTTAGTTGTTGGGAGATTTTGCACATAATAGCCTTACTTCTTACGAGTACCAAAAAATAGCTACCACTTATTGAGCACCTACTGTGTGCCGGATACTTCATATACATTTTCAGTTCTTTTCCAGTTATCTGTTGTGTATATCAAATCACCCAAAATCTCAGTGGCTTCAGACAATAATCATTTTATTATCTCTTATGGTTTGTGTGGGTCAGAAATTTAGGAAGGTCTGGGCCAGGCAGTCTGACTCAAGGTCTTACATGCAGTTGCAGTCAAAAGATAGTTGAAGCTGGAAGGTGGGGGTGTTGGGGGGTGGTCGGGTGTTAGGTAGGGCTGGAGCAGTGAGGGACTGAGCAGCCTCTCTTTCTTCACTTATTCCATGGGGCCTCTTATTGTGGGCTAATTTGGGCTTCCTCCTGGCCTGGTGACTTTGGGGTAGTCTGTTTATATGGCATCTGGTCCCCCCCACCCCCAAGCTAGTGTCCCAAGAGAAAAAAAAGCCAAAACATTGTTAATGTCCTCCAGCCAAAGACCACCGAGAACATGCATGTAGTTAAACAAGTTGAATTTATTACTCCTTGCACCAAGGGAGAACAAACCCATGGGAGAACCATTGGCTTTCTCAGTAAGAGGATGTTAGAAAGAACCTATTACAGGATTTGGGCTTTGGTTGAATGATTTGAGGAAGGATGTAAGGAAGCGAGGATTTGCTCTGGGTTGAATGCTGTCAGACTGGATGCAATTCTGATTAGTATCTCAATCAATAAATCTTATCTATATGGAGGGCTGAATGCGGTGAGGATAAAACTA